GCTCAATAAATGCTAATGATTTCAAGATTTTTAACTTGAAGGAAGTCAGAAAATATAAAACATTAGTGTTAAATGAATAGCAATCTAGATTCATTAGTAAATAGGTGCTACCGGGGTAAATTTCATTTTCCGTGCAAATATTTATATGTCTTCTTTAACGTCTAATGGTTATGAAGTTACTAAAATATGAGCACATTTCACATGAATGTGCATACTTTTCATGCTATATCAGATGTTACAAATTTAGAAAGTACAAGTACCTAAATAAAATTTTAAATGCATGTATAAACACTGTTTGTAAAAATACTGAAACATTAGATTATAACACACAGATGTCCATATTCATTTTTTTCTTGGGCAATCTTTTTCACATATTTAATATTCACAGTGAAATAACTTACACATAAAATGTCTTCATAAATGAGGAACAATTTCCCATTTAAGATAACCCTACCATACTTTAAAAGGTTCTAATTTACATTTTTAAAAAGATTATAAAGTAAAATTATATTCTACAATTGAAGTGATCCTTGCAAAACACAATAAATCATCCACAGGATTTTCTAGCATTTCAGGTTACCAGCTTTATCCCAATTAAAAAAAAACTTGGTCAAACAAATATATTTATAGATTACTTTTGAAAACAATGAATAAACACATATATACTGTAGTACAGAGAAATATCAAATATTTCAACCTTTGAATTCATTTTTAATATTAAACATCACAGTACAGACATGACTTTACAGTCTGCAGTCAGAGAGACACCACATTGATCCCTACCCATCATCCTCTTCATCCACCAGTTTAAGTTCATCCTCGTTCACTTGCTTGTACTGACCAATGGGCAAGCTACAGTGTGATAGAAAATCTACCCAATAATATATCACATGCCAAATATTATACAATTATTGCTGTGTTTTGAGGTCAATACAATGATTTAGCCATCTGAGGAGTACAATATTCACCGAGCCCGGAGGGCGAGGTGAATATTGTACTTCGAAGATGGCTAAATCATTGTATTGACCGAAAAATACAGCAATAATTGTTTTATTATATGATTCACTAATAAAATGATAATACCCATTACTTGTTTGCATTTAATTACTAGTAAGTCCTATCTGAATACAATTAAGAGAGATACAGAATTAAAATGTTAATCCACCTTATAGGTCGTATTTATTTTTTTAAAAGTTTTTTTTTAATCAATTTTAGTTGCCATGAAAAAAAAATAATGTCAATCTTTTTTCTAGGATAGATTTTTAAAGGAAGGAGTATTAGCAGGGAAAACTGACTGAAAAAAGTTAAAATTGTTGTTCAGTAAAAGTGTTGGAGGAGTGCCCCTGCATCCCCTGTTACCACCCTCACCCGAAAATATATATTCGCTTATGTTTTCTTCACATGAAAAAAAAGTAATAGTAGTTTAAATAGCTTTCCAAATTAATTTGTATCAATTTGGAATATCCCGATCTATTTTTAGATCAATGTAGAGGAAATAAATCCTTGTATTGACCTGGAACGTCACGTGCAGGTCAATACAACGTAGTATTTTTCTAACATAGTTGGATCTCAGCCAATCAGAGAGATAGAAATTATTCAATCATATAATAAAAATATATATTTGAACAAAAGGCCCACGGGCCTTATAGGTCACCTGAGTATTGTGTAACAACTTTCAAACAATTAAATTTGGTTCGTGTTGTAAACCAGAGCCCATGAAATTCACAATTCACAATTTTGAAAGAGGCATCATTGCTTGTCATAATTATTAACTTAGCATGCTAACTCTCTTCACTTAATACCCAGAGGTAGATCAGAGTAACAAAGAGAAAATGCACTACCTCTTTATACCCAGTTGTGCACCTCACCCCAAAGGAACTGCTGACCCAGGGGCCACATATTTCAAAATTTTGCAAATTTTATCATAAAATGGTTGATTAATACCAAAGAGCATATTTCAAAGCATTAATTTATTTTCAGACTATGTAACCCCCCCCCTCTGACCCAGGGGGCATAAAAAAACCACTTTGCTAGATGCGCCTTTCTTCATCATAAATTTGTATACTTGGATCATTGGCATAAAACCCAGAAGCAAAGGAAAATATTTTCACTATATAATAAAATCAATAGAGCCCCACCCTAACACAAGAACCCCTGAACCTGGGGCCATAAAATTCACAATTTTGGAAGAGGCACTCTTGCTTATCATAACTATGTGCTTGGTTAGTTTACTTAATACCCAGGAGCAGAGAAGAAGATTTTCAGAGAAATAATGCATTTTCAATATATGATCAATAGAGCTCCGCCCTAACACCAGAACCCCTGACCCTGGGGCCATAAAATTCACAATTTTATAGGAAGCACTCTTGCTAATCATAATTATGTACTTAGCTAGTTTATTTAATATCCAGAAGCAGAGAAGAAGATTTTCAAAGAAATAATGCATTTTCACTAATTTATAATCTAATTAGCCCCGCCCTAGCACTAGAACCCCTGACCCTGGGGCCATAAAATTCAAAATTTTGGAAGAGGCACTCTTGCTTATCATAACTATGTGCTTAGTTAGTTTATTTAATACTCAGAAGCTGAGAAGAAGATTTTCAAAGATTTAATGCATTTTCACTATATAATCAATAGAGCCCCGCCCTAACCCCTGAACCTGGGGCCATAAAATTTACAAATCTGGAAGAGGCATTCTTGCTCATCATAACTATGTACTTAGTTAGTTTATTTAATACCCAGGAGCAGAGAAGAAGATTTTCAAAGAAATAATGCATTTTCACTATATAATCTATATAGCCCCGCCCTAGCACTAGAACCCCTGACCCTAGGGCCATGAATTATACAATTTTGGTAGAGGACTCAATGCTCATTACATTCATGCCAACAGTTTGCCTGCTTGATGTCCAGAAGTAAAGAAGAAGATTTTTAAAGATTGCAATAATTTTAGTGGTTTCGGCCCCACCCCTCAGGCCCCAGGGGGGAGGGGGCCATGAAATTCACAATTTTTGTTCCCCTTCACCCATAGATGCTGTATACCATATCTGGTTGAAATTGGTTCAGTGGTTTCAGAGAAGAAGCTGAAAATGTTCAAATGTTAACACACGATACACGACGCATGACGCACTACGACGGACAGCAATAGGTCACCTGAGTTACTCAGGTGACCTAAAATTGAGAGTGCAAACTAAGGAGATGCTAAATCTTTTTTAAAAAGATAATATGTACAGTCTTATCTTGTTATCTCAAACTCTGTGGGTATCTAAGGATTCAAAATATGGAGATTAAAATAGAGTGGTTAAGACTTCCAGATCACTCTTACATATCCAGAGTATTTCAGATATTTGAGATAGCAAAGTTCAAGTGAATTTTAAAACAGAAATTAGGAATTGGATCAAGTTAATGGTTAGGTTACATATTTCATTGTAAATACTGTCCATTATTAGTAAATACAGGATACATGGGATATTGAACTGTTGTACATTTCAATGGTCAATTCTAACTTGACCCAGATTTATTTTTAATGATAATTAAGATACAGAGAAATACTGACCTTTTAATAATGGAGGTGATGAAGAATTCTTTCTTTTTTTCTGGTTTTCTGTGCATGAAGAACTCCGGTGTAGGCGTCAGAAAGCCGTAGAGAGCCTCACTCTGGGCCATCATTCCGTCCTTCATTACGGCCTAAAAATAGAAATGTGATGTCAGTACAGTATATTAGTAGGCTCCAGGGCCAAAACTCAAAATGCCTCAAAGATTGCTTCAAGATAATATAATTGTCACTGGGTTCACATGTGCGTGAAATTCAGTCAATATATCGGGTCTCAACAGCTCAGTTGGTTAGAGTGCCGGGACGGTTACCCAGAACCCTGGGTTCGAGTCCCAACCTGACTTTTCACCACCTGTGACATATTATCTTGAAGCAATCTTTGAAATTCTAAATGTTACCAGTGTATAAAATACAACTGCCACAAATTAAGAAAAAATGATCAATAAATCATTTAGACTTTAGTAAATGGTCACACTCACACTGAGATAATCATTCAGTATTCTCTTACACTCAGTCAAGAATTTGTCGTCCAGTGTCGTGAATCGCCTCACAGATGGAAGTTCTTTCTTCTTCAACCAAGGTCCAATCTGTAAAGACATAAATCAAGAAAAATATATGTTTAAGGAAACAAGAGGCCCATGGGCCTTATAGGTCACCTGAGCATTATGCAACAACTTCCCAGTTACAGTGTATTGAATTTGATTCATGTTTTAAGCCAGATGCTATATGGCATTCACAATTTTGAAAGAGGCACCATTGATCATCATAACTACATTTAGCAGTTGCTTAGCTTGGTTACTGAATACCCATACGCAGGGTAGGGGAACAAAAATGCACTCCAACTAATCAGTAATATTCAGCAATAATCAGTAGTGCCCCTAACAATGTGACATAAACCCCTGACATTAGGTCCACACATTGCACAAATTTTTAAAAGGCACCCTTAAAATTGCCTATCAAAAAATAAATAAATGTTTTATAAATACAAAGGAGCATATTTCAAACAATTAATTCATTTTCAGTATATAAGTAGAGCCCCCCACCCCTGACCCTGGGGCCTTGAAATTCACAATTCTGCAAGATTAGGGCCCTTGCTCATCATAACTATATAGGTAGTTCATCTGCTTCATACCCAGAGACAGAGAAAAAAATGTTCAAAGATTTAATGTATTTTCACTATATAATCAATAGAGCCCCACCCTAACACCAGAACCCCAGACCCTGGGGCCATAAAATTCTTAATTTTAGAAGAGGCATTCTTGCTCATCATAACTATGTATTTTGTTAGTTTATTTAATTCCCAGGAGCAGAGAAGAAGCTTTTCAAAGAATTCATGTATTTTTACTATATAATAAAATAGATCACCGCCCTAACACCAGAACCCCTGACCCTGGGACCATAAAATTCACAATTTTGGTTGAGGCACTCTTGCTCATCATAACTATGCACTTAGTTAGTTTATTTAAAACCTAGGAGCAGAGAAGAAGATTTTCAAAGAATTCATGTATTTTCACTATAGAATCAATAGAGCCCCCCAACACCAGAACCCTTGATGATGGGGCCATAAAATTCACAATTTTGGTTGAGGCACTCTTGCTCATCATAACTATGCACATAGTTAGTTTATTTAATATCTAGGAGCAGAGAAGAAGATTTTCAAAGAAATCATGTATTTTCACTATATAATCAATAGAGCCTCACCCCCCAACACCAGAACCATTGACCCTGGGGCCATAAAATTCACAATTTTGGTAGAGGCACTCTTGCTCATCATAACTATGTACTTAGTTGGTTTATTTAATACCTAAGAGCAGAGAAGAAGATTTTCAAAGAAGTTATGTATTTTCACTATATATAATCAATAGAGCCCCACCCTAACACCAGAACCCCTGACCCTGGGGCCTTAAAATTCACAACGTTGGTAGAGGCACTCTTGCTGATCATACTATGTACTTAGTTGGTTTATTTAATACTCAGGAGCAGAGAAAAAGATTTTTAAAGAAATAATGCATTTTCACTATATACTTATTTAACCCCGCCCAAGCACTAGAACCCCTGACCCCAGGGCCATGAATTTCACAATTTTGGTAGAGGACTCAATGCTGATTACAATCATGCAAATAGTTTGACTACTTGATGTCCAGGAGTAAAGAAGAAGATTTTTAAAGATTGCATTAATTTTAGTGGTTTTGGCCCTACCCCTCAGGCCCCAGGGGGGCAGGGATCATGAAATTCACAATTTTTGTTCCCCTTCACTTATAGATGCTTTGTGCCAAATTTGGTTGAAATTGGTTCAGTGGTTGCAGAGAAGAAGCTGAAAATGTTCAAATGTTAACACACGACGCACGACGGACAACGACGGACGAAAACAGATAGCAATAGGTCACCTGAGTTTACTCAGGTGACCTAAAAACATTGTCATTTTAGAACAAACAGAGAGAGTGAATGAGAGAGAAAATAAGAGAGAAAGAAAGACAGATAAAGATTTCAAGTTTCTTAAAGTATCATCCACCAGTATAATTCACCTCTATGAGTTTCTCGTGGAGTCTGTTGAAGTCTGGGATAGTTCTGGTGACTAGCCAGCCCTCAGCACTGTGTTGGAGATTGTAGGACTTTTCCTGTCCGGTCAGATGTACGATCAAAACAAAGGTAGGGATCCTCTTATCATCCTCCTCAACAATCTGTGTGTGGGATAAACCAAAAATAGAGAAGATGTAGGAATACACAAATCAGAAATCCTTAATACAAGTACATTGCTTTTACATATTTTAACATAAAACAATATTCAAATTGAGTACAGTAAACAAAATACAACTTAATTCTATTTACAATTTGTATTAAATACTTCTTTTGCCATGGATATTCCCTACAAGTACGGTGTACTCTATATCATGCCACTGGTATCTGTATATGTGTATGTAAGCTTGTGTCCAGTGTAACACTAGTCTATTTATTTGTTCATGATTAAGCTTTTAAATGAAGAGTACAGAATGAACCACAGTGACTGTACATGTACTACAGTTCCCTACACCCCCTGACCTGGGCCTCGTAGATAGTGGCCCTCCAGGAGCCCTGGTTCTCGCACCACTTCTGTGTCCTCAGGATGTGGATCTCTAGCTGCCTCCTCTGTAGGATCAGCTGCTCCAGCTCCCCCTCCAAGTCCTTCTCTATCTTCTCTGTCTTCATACAAGATAGAAAAAAATATGATGTAAGGATAATACTTTAAACTTTTCATATACTGTACATTTCATGAGAAATGAGGTCTTCTGAACTTGGTTGTGCATATTAAAGATTAAATACCATGTTTTCATACTGTACTTCATACCAGGGCACAAAAATCTAGCTCTTCATGAATATTATAACAGTGTGTGTTATTCATATCACAAATATCTATAATGTACATGTATCAGTACATGAAGTTATACAAGAGGCCCACGGGCCTTATAGGTCACCTGAGCATTATGCAACAACTTTCCAGTTACAGTGTATTGAATTTGATTCAATAACATGTTTTAAGCCAGATGCTATATGGCATTCACAATTTTGAAAGAGCACCATTGATCATCATAACAATAAACTTAGCAGTCGCTTAGCTTGGTTACTGAATACCCATATGCAGGGTAGGGGAACAAAAATGCACTCCAACTAATCAGTAATATTCATCAATAATCAGTAGTGCCCCTAACACTCTGACATAAACCCCTGACCCTAGGTTGCACAAATAGAGCCCCCCCCCCCAACACCAGAACCCTTGATGATAGGGCCATTAAATTCAAAATTTTGGTTGAGGCACACTTGCTCAACATAACTATACACTTAGTTTATTTACTACCTAGGAGCAAAGAAGAAGATTTTCAAGGAATTCATGTATTTTCACTATATAATCAATAGAGCCCCCCCCCCCCCCCACCAGAACCCTTGACCCTGGGGCCATAAAATTCACAATCTTAGTTGAGGAACACTTGCTTATCATCACTATGTACTTAGTTAGTTTATTTGATACCTAGGAGCAGAGAAGAAGATTTTCAAAGAATTCATGTATTTTCACTTTATAAACAATAAAGTCCCCCCCCCCCACCAGAACCATTGATGCTGGGGCCATAAAATTCACAATTTTTGTAGAGGCACTCTTGCTCATCATAACTATGCACTTAGTAAGTTTATTTAATACCTAGGAGCAGAGAAGAAGATTTTCAAAGAAATCATGTATTTTCACTATATAATCAATAGAGCCCCCCCCCCCCCCACACCAGAACCCTTGACCCTGGGGCCATAAAATTCACAATCTTGGTAGAGGCACTCTTGCTCATCATAACTATGCACTTAGTTAGTTTATTTAATACCTAGGAGCAGAGAAGAAGATTTTCAAAGAATTCATGTAATTTCACTATATAATCAATAGAGCCCCCCCCCAACACCAGAACCCTTGACCCTGGGGCCATAAAATTCACAATTTTGGTAGAGGCACTCTTGCTCATCATAACTATTTACTAACTTGGTTAATTTAATACCCAAGGGCAGAGAAGAAGATTTTCAAAAAAATCATGTATTTTTACTATATAATCAATAGAGCCCCATCCTAACACCAGAACCTCTGACCCTGGGGCCATAAAATTCACAATTTTTGTAAAGGCACTCTTGCTCATCATAACTATGCACTTAGTTAGTTTATTTAATACCTAGGAGCAGAGAAGAAGATTTTCAAAGAATTCATGTAATTTCACTATATAATCAATAGAGCCCCCCCCCAACACCAGAACCCTTGACCCTGGGGCCATAAAATTCACAATCTTGGTAGAGGCACTCTTTCTCATCATAAATATGCACTTAGTTAGTTTATTTAATATCTAGGAGCAGAGAAGAAGATTTTCAAAGAATTCATGTATTTTCACTATATAATCAATAGAGCCCCCCCCCCCCCACACCAGAACCCTTGACCCTGGGGCCATAAAATTCACAATCTTGGTAGAGGCACTCTTGCTCATCATAACTATGCACTTAGTTAGTTTATTTAATACCTAGGAGCAGAGAAGAAGATTTTCAAAGAATTCATGTAATTTCACTATATAATCAATAGAGCCCCCCCCCCAACACCAGAACCCTTGACCCTGGGGCCATAAATTTCACAATTTTGGTTGGGGCACTCTTGCTCATCATAACTATTTACTAACTTGGTTAATTTAATACCCAAGGGCAGAGAAGAAGATTTTCAAAAAAATCATGTATTTTTACTATATAATCAATAGAGCCCCATCCTAACACCAGAACCTCTGACCCTGGGGCCATAAAATTCACAATTTTTGTAAAGGCACTCTTGCTCATCATAACTATGCACTTAGTTAGTTTATTTAATACCTAGGAGCAGAGAAGAAGATTTTCAAAGAATTCATGTAATTTCACTATATAATCAATAGAGCCCCCCCCCAACACCAGAACCCTTGACCCTGGGGCCATAAAATTCACAGTTTTGGTAGAGGCACTCTTTCTCATAATAAATATGCACTTAGTTAGTTTATTTAATATCTAGGAGCAGAGAAGAAGATTTTCAAAGAATCATGTAATTTCACTATATAATCAATGAGCCCCCCCCCCCAACACCAGAACCCTTGACCCTGGGGCCATAAAATTCACAATCTTGGTAGAGGCACTCTTTCTCATCATAAATATGCACTTAGTTAGTTTATTTAATACCCAGGAGCAGAGAAGAAGATTTTCAAAGAATTCATGTAATTTCACTATGTAATCAATGAGCCCCCCCAACACCAGAACCCTTGACCCTGGGGCCATAAAATTCACAATTTTGGTAGAGGCACTCTTGCTCATCATAACTATTTACTTACTTGGTTTATTTAATACACAGGGGCAGAGAAGAAGATTTTCAAAGAAATCATGTATTTTCACTATATAATCAATAGAGCCCCACTCTAACACCAGAACCCCTGACCCTGGGGTCATAAAATTCACAAATTTGGTAGAGGCACTCTTTCTCATCATAACTATGTACTTAGTTGGTTTATTTAATACCCAGGAGCAGAGAAGAAGATTTTCAAAGAAATAATGCATTTTCACTATATACTTATTTAGCCCCGCCCTAGCACTAGAACCCCTGACCCCAGGGCCATGAATTTCACAATTTTGGTAGAGGACTCAATGCTGATAACAATCATGCAAATAGTTTGACTGCTTGATGTCCAGGAGTAAAGAAGAAGATTTTTAAAGATTGCATTAATTTTAGTGGTTTTGGCCCCACCCCTCAAGCCCCAGGGGGGCAGGGATCATGAAATTCACAATTTTTGTTCCCCTTCACCCATAGATGCTTTGTGCCAAATTTGGTTGAAATTGGTTCAGTGGTTGCAGAGAAGAAGCTGAAAATGTTCAAATGTTAACACACGACACACGACGGACGACGACGGACGAAAACGGATAGCAATAGGTCACCTGAGTTTACTCAGGTGACCTAAAAATTGTACATTGTTTTAGTCTCAAACCTTCGCATCATCCATTTTCCGTGATTCTCTGATCGCTTTAAGTGCATGGCTCTTGTTCTGGATTTTCCCATCCAGCTGCTCCAGTTTCTGCTGAGCGAAGTAAGACTGATCCTTAAAGATAACACTGTCATCACTGTTAAAGTCCATGTAGACCTCCTCCTCATCACTGTCAGGCTGGAAGAACAGTAAATCTGGAAAAGAATGAAGAAACCTACTAAAAGAATAATAAATCAACAAAAGAATACTGTAGACATACTTTTTTCCACAGGGTCATAATTCTGCAGAATCTCTAATTCTGTTCAATCTGCTGGTAGAAAATTATGCAGGTATATTAAGACTCTCTTTATATGCCTTATATTGGTATTACGTTCGATGGGACAAATTTCCGCGGAAAATTTATGTTGAATTGATTTTGAAGTCCCAAGTATTTTTTCTTTAAGTATTTTACCCTGGGTATCTTCAATTTGAAGATATCTCAAAGTTAATTTCTTGGTCTTATCAAGTTCAAGACAATGAGGTTTGACTGTTTACTTAAATGCACAAGCCAGTTGTATACCTTTCCTTTGTTCTGTGAGATCAGCTGGGGTATCTTGTTCTAAGGACTTGATATATTTATGGTAAATATCACTGACAAGAAATGATGGATAGTACTGCTTCTTCAAGATGTCCAAGACAGTCTTCTCTCCCCTCTCAAATGCTTCATAGTCCTACAATATACATGTAAGACTGTAGACATCTAAAATTGTACTTTTTTCCTTAAATTTTATACATAACCTACATGGAAATGTGCATTGTCAGAAAATGTAGATGCATGCAAATACATATATGCCATTGACTGGTTATTAGCAAAACTTTACTCTTCTATGATTACTAGTTGATGTATTGTAAAATGCCTTAAGTTTTTCAATAACAATATGTGCATGTTTTTAGCTCCAAGAAAATGATCAACAACTGAACTTTCTTTCCCATAAAAAGCATGGACTTCAGATTAATAGTAAACAGAAATCTGCCCTGTGTAACTCGATGGACAATTTACCGGTGAGTTCCCCAGTAAGAACGCCTCCATGTCCTTCACGGTTCCCCTGTCCAGCTTGACCACACTGGTACTACTGGCGATGTATTTGTCAAATATCTCCTTCCCTAACTGATACTGCTTCCTCTGAAAGGATAGAAAATTATGTCTTAAATATTGAATTTTAATAATTTAAAATAATAGATAGAATAGTCAAGGGTATTCATCATGATACCGTATATCAGGTTTTTTCCGCGTCATGTTTTTTCCGCGAATCAGAACCTAAATCAGTATATTAAATTTACGCGAATCATATTTTCACTATTTCAAAGTCCCAGTGATTTTATAATTAACAATTGTTTAAGCCTATAAAGGGACTGGATGTAAAATGTAATGTCATTAAGCTTCATATGGGTGAGAAATACATCTATCGACCTTCACCTCGTCAATTCCGGAAGACCCGCTTGGCTGATTTTACACCTGTTGCGTACTAACTCTCAAATCCATGCACATATATTATTTTTTTTAAGATTTAAACAATTATAATTCATTTACTGTTCCAAACTGACTAGCAGCCTAAGGTATGATTATTTTTAATAGCTTCTCGCAAGAATCGTGACCCATATAATTAGCTGGCTTGTCAATTAGTAAACAAACAATAAGGGCTTATACCTATTACTGGTACCCTGCGCTTGTCCTCTGATCCCGCTATTTCTACCCTCTGCGATATAAGCTTTAAGAAATAATTCTACTACAAGAAGAAAACTTTGTATTAAATTTACGCTGTTTTATTTTCCGCGATTCAGAACTCGTCGCGAACAAACCGGAAATTGGATACACGCGGAAAAATCCTGATATACGGTATATTGAGGTGTTATTTTTTATTGATTCATGTATTTTTCATAACCTTGTTTATCTTACCTTTTCAGCAGTCTCAAGCCTTTCTACAGCCATGCAAAATCTAGAAATGTTCAAAATGAAAGCAGGATAACTTTACATTTGTTTTTAATTATTACTTCAATCAAACAGCATACATACTTTAAATCACACTTTACTGCAAAAGTTAAATCACACTACACTGGAAAAGATACACTGAAGTATTAATAGACATCCTACAACACTTCAATCACTGAATCTAACCTGATTTTTTTTTATCTTGTTATATGACTTCAAATGTTGAAGATTCTTTTTAAAATTATTCAATTTACCCAAGCAAGGAATGGTTGTCATCTTTTTCTAAAAATTTGTAAAATTCCGTTTTAGCTTCCACTGAATCCATCACTTCTTCAAAGGACAAAATCTGCAAAAATAAAAAGAAAATTGTTTTGTATTTTTGAATTTTTTTTTCAACAAATTTCTATAATTTGCAACACACACATATATATTGATAAGTGTGCATATGATCAAACTTGAAGATGCTGCTGTTGTGATAATGTAGGAATTTTATATCAATGAAGATTTTTTTTATAGGGGGATTGGTGGTGGTGGTGGTGGGGGGGGGGGGGGGCTTACATCCCTGCAATCATTGACCAGTACCTTGGTACTCTTTGTGACCATTCCCTCTGGGTCCTCTGTTGTTTCATAGCTCTTGTAATCTGGTCCCCCTAAGGCATGTATTCTCTTCTCACTGTGAACTTTGGCAATAGTAAGCTACAAGAAAAAGGAAGAAATCCAAGAGATTGGATCAACCTGAGTTATGAGATTTGTCAATCTATGAAAATGTATAATGGATCAGTTTTAACACTTAAGTTGATTGGCTTGACCATTTGTACATCTATTCATTTTAAAGCTTTCTGGTAATGAGCCATCTTTGTAATATGTTTTTATTAAACACCAATTAGCAAAATTTTGTGCACACAAAATGGCTACCTGATTGATGTATCTTTTCAGATTTCTAGCTTTTAGAAGATCCCCTTTACCCGTGGCCCGAGATGGTCCTTTCTCACCAGGTTTTAAAGGTTTTTCTGTCAGAACAAGAATACCGGTATTACTCTATCATGTATGATACTCATGCACAGTAGAGGTAAAGAATTTCTCTGGGTATTCCTCACACATTTCCTGCTTATAAAAATTTTCATAGAATCACTATTTTTGTGGGTAGAAAATTACACTGATTTCTTAGATTGCCACTGTAGGCCTTAAAGTATGCTGAAACAAATGTTTGCCAAAAAAAGGTGACCGCATTCACAGTGTAAAGAACTGCGAACGATAGTATTGTTCTCCCGCCTACCTCCAAGTCAATTTTCAAAAGTTAACATATTCGATGAATTTTTAATATTTTTCATAAATAATTATTTGAATTTTCATAAAACATTACTTATTTGGGAAAACAAAGAGAAATAACTCTAAAAATTTGGTAAAACGTGTGTTTTTCACTATAGAAATCAATGGAAAACGGAAAATATTTTAAAAACATCTTTCCCCCCCATGTCACAAAAATTCCTTTTTACAGGTAATATGGAATGGTATTTCACGAATTCATACCAAAGCTTTTTGTGTGACACGGGGGGGGGGGGGGGGGGGGGGGGAACATATGTTTATTCACAAAAGACGATAAAAATGCTTATTTTCCACCAATTTCAAAGCGATATACAACTGAAACATTATATTTTATTGAACTATTTATGTTTTATTTAATTGCCTGAAACACAAGAAAAGATATAAGGAACATTTAATCATATCCAAGACTATTTCAAAATATTGTGATGCTTGAAACTCCGATTTTAATGGAAAAAAATCGTCTACCCCCCTTTTTTCAAGAGCTGGAATTATGGATAATTTACTGTTTAGCGCTGGTATTAAGACGATTTATCAATTACCATTGAACTGTTCTTTGTATTAAACAAAGATTTTATGGCCAAATTGCTATTCATATTGAATTAAATGGTTCCAAAATATAGGCGGGAATCGAGAGTTAGCGTGCGTGTTTCTTAAACCAATTTGACAATGAAATAATACTTCTACATGTACCGTACACACAATTTTAATTCTCATTTAATGCCTATGAAGATTTTCTTAAACTACAGCTATTCTCTGACCCAAATTCTCCCTAAACAAATGGTACCTGGAATGTTCTGTTCCTTTTTAATGTTCTGAATGGTTGTAGCATGAATGATTTCTGTCATGATATTGTATCTGTAAATCACAAATTTTACATAATGAATACAAATCAAAGAGAATTACACATGTATTATAAAAATATCCACTTACAGTTAATATATAACTTTTTACTGTACATACATGGAAACGTTGTGGAAAATTCTTTCCTCACTGAATGCATAAATTTTTCAAATAACAGTTGGTTGCACAGGTTTGTTTATTTTCTCAAAACTCTCATTTTTTTATAGACACATGTATGCATCATGGGTACCTGTAAAGTGCGAAACGAAATAGAAACGAAACGAAACGAAACGAAACGAACTGAAACGAAACGAAATCTGCCGAAACGAAACGAACCCGAAACGAAACGAAACCTACCGAAACGAAACGAAATCAAGACGAAACGAAACGAAATCAAAACGAAACCTGCCGAAACGAAACGAAACAAAACTTTCAGAATGATTATATTGTATATTTTTACATCATATGAAATTTATATAGTTCAAGCACCACAGGCTTCGCTTCAAACTCATACATAGGCGTACGCGTCGGAAGGATATTAAAGGGGGGGGGGGGGTAACCAACAAAAAGGCTAATGCCTATATAAATATCTTTGCAAAAAAAAAGAAAAGTTTAGGGGTGGGGGGGGCTCCCCCCGTTTCCAACGCCTATGTCATATTTTATTAATATCTTACTGAATAATTTACCTACTTAAAATTGACATCGCTTTGAGATACTTTTTTCTTGTAGTTAAATCGTTTTCGACGTCTCTTATGGAGCCTCTTTTTGCAAACCACTCATTTCTTCCTCGAAAATTACCTCGATAAAAATAGGACTGTATGTACGTAGAAAGGATACACAAGATTCCGGTTGTAGTTACATGTATAACTGAACAATAAAATCAGACACCTCGGAATGGATTACTAAATACTCTAAGTCGCTGGTTTATCCTATGTTTTATGACATTCGCAATACAACAGTACAGTGACTTTATTTCGACCCGTACATAAACGAGCCTTTACATGTAACAACATCAATTTTGATTGATATGTTGTATCTAGATAAATATTATAAGGACTGAAAATAAGAGTAAGATATAAAAATTAGAAAATACTGCACATATTGAAATTATACTCGTGCATATTTGCAGTTGGTAAACATGTAAATACATCATTAGACTGAGAAGGGAGCATAATTTATCAATAATTTAAATTTTATATTAACAAGTGCTTGAACTATATATATAAATTTTATTTGAAATAAAAAAAAAGTCCACATGCAGTTACACATATGTACCTTGATTTGAAAAAAAAAAACCCAAACATTTTGATAGCTTTGTTTCGTTTCGTTTCGGCAGGTTTCGTTTCGTTTCGTCGTGATTTCGTTTCGTTTCGGTTGGTTTCGTTTCGTTTTGATAGATTTCGTTTCGTTTCGGCAGATTTCGTTTCGTTTCAGTTCGTTTCGTTTCGTTTCGTTTCTATTTCGTTTCGCACTTTACAGGTACCCATGCATCATAACTAAAGACAAATAGAACTAGAAAACTGACCAGTCAGCAAGGGCCCCGCCATGGGGTGGAATTATAAGGATGCAGCTTATGGAATGATTAAAAAATATATGAAGAAATAAGCATGCAACAGCAAATGTATTCTTAAAATTTTCAACATAATTCCTGAATATCCAAAAACCTGTAAATAATATCCTTGTATATTTACATTAGGCACTGGCAGTAAAGAACAACCTAACATTGAATGTATATATAAACAATAATGAAGTTTGTGTTTGTGTTATATAAAATGCCAGTCTTCAATGAATGCAAATACATGTATCATGAAGGCTTGACCTTAACTTCAAAACAAACAGCAGTTGCAGACAAAGTTTTTCATTAATCTTAAAATGACAGATAAAGATAGGCCTACTAAATTTTCTTCAGCAGGCTAGATAATTAATCCTGAGGGATTAATTGTACCTCTCTCATCATTTTCTTCTAAAGTTACAATAAGAACTTTTTCAGTATTAATATTAGAATGGCTTAATCCAACTACGTCCGAGTATCGAATACTAAAATCGGTACTCGGTTACTCGGATGTATATTTTTGAATATTTCTAAGCTTGTTTATTAATGCATTAAACAATCTGTTTTAAAACGTGAAATACTCATTGCACTTGTACACACAGTAATTAGGGTTTCCTACTCCTCTAAATGACCGTAATCGCCCGTGGCAGTGTTTATACAGTAATTATCGTGACCAAGCACCTGTTACCTGGCTTTTCTCACCTTTAATTCGGCTGTCTTCTACCCTTAAATTTTGATTTGCTTTAATTATTTGTTTTCACTGTACATCGTTTTAGGACTTTTGTGATTAAATAAATTAGATAATTTTGTTAATTCTCCGAGAAGCCGTAAATTCTCGGGAAAAGAGACAGATGATATTACACGCGCGACTGTTGATATGGTTGTGTTTGATTACATGCCAACGAATACATGTACAAATGGTTAAGGGAAAGGCTTAAAAAAACTGATGTCCATCGTTGCACCAAACTACAAAATACCGTCCCGTAATACTATAAAATATATGACCGAAAAGTATACGAAAATTGTAAATCCGCTCTGTTAGAACTTGGTCAAGTTCAAGTCAAACAGTACGACTAATACATGGACATCAAACGCAACAAAGAGTTACATTACAATTACGGAGTAGATTTTAAAAAAAACGGCTTGAACAACTCACAATTTTATTTCTTGTGTTTATCTGATAAATAAATTGAACTTAAAGTTGTATTAAATTTCGTCGGGCACAAAGTGCTCATCATTGTTACAACAGACATGCATTATTACGAGTAAACCTCCTATCAGAGCATGTGTTTTTTTTTTCTACAAGAGTTTGCAAAGTTTTACATTCATCAATCTACTTTTCATATGTATTTACACTTTTACCGAGTACCCGGGTACTCGATCGGAAAAACGTCCGAGTAACCGAGTATTAAAAATTGACCGATTTGACATCCCTAGAAAAAAGTAAAAATAAAAGATATGTCTTCTTTAATCTATTTCTTGTTTTTAGAATTCAATGAAATCATAACTCATTGTGTAGGTATTTTAACCAAAATAAAGTATAGACATTTATGTCTAAATCCACATTTCAGAGTGTTCATAGCATTCCAAATTGACTGAACTTCAAAACAAACTTCATTTGCAGACAGAGGTGGTAATTAATCTCAATGTGACAGATAAAGATAATGCTTTGGATTTTCTTCAGGAGGAAAGCTAATTAATCCCAAGGGACTCATCGCAGCATTCAGTTTACAATGGAAACATCTTCAGCAGTTATCTCTCTTTGCTATTTAGCATTCTTATATAAAGTTAAGGAATATACCCCACCACCCCAGCTCCAAACCAAGGGTCATAGAGAAACAAACTTAGCATCAAAATATGTCTTTCTGCCTATTGAACTACCATACCAAATTTGATCTTAATTGGGCAACTATAAAAAAAGTTATTAGGAAAAAACAGGAAATTTGTGGACAGAAGAAAGACAGATGGACAGACGGACAGACAGAGTGATTACTATAGGGCACCCGCAAATCCTTGCGGGGCCCTAACTAAACAAGTATTAAAGAGCATGTGTAGTGTATTTGGATATCAAAATTAAGCTGATATTACCTTATTTGTTTAAGGTGCTCTATATCGTCACACTTGTCAATGAGTTTCACGAATTCCTCGTACGTAGCGGCATACGTATATTTCTTACGAGTGTCCTCAGAAAGCTGTCTTCGGTAATCGATGTAATTTATCAGTTTCTGGTTTATGTAGTCTGGATCACATATCATGTCCACAGAGGGATTCAGAACTAGAAATACATGTAGAAATACAGAAAAAAATTGGTGTAACATTTTTATATACCTGTAATTTCTAGATTTTCAAAAGTCAGAATCATTATTTTTCAAACATATCAAATATTCCTTTATTATAATAATAAATTTGATTAAAGTCGGCAACATTTAAACATACTGTTGCAATATTGTACTATGCTTTTCAAAATTAAAATATCAAACCAATTTACACTCCCCATATAGTTAATGTCTAGCTTTCACACCAAGCTTTACACAAATTGTAAATCAACTAACAGAGAAAATATAGAAATATTCACGAATTTCTTGACCAATTTGAACTTATAATACTTCTAGTAAGTCACTTTTTTTAATTGTCCACAAACATAGAAATGCTTGCTAGAATATGCCTGTATGGTCAAATTTAAAACTGACAAATTGCAAATAATGGTATTTAATGATAGTTTGACTATAGTTTTAATTAACAAATAATTCACAACTTTTTTATTCCACATAGAATACAAGTATCCTTAATCTTCTATCACTAGCTTTAATTCCTAGCTTTAGCCTAGTAATTTCAGTAACTTACAGTAATTTCAGTAACTTACAGTAATTTCAGTAACTTACAGTAATTTCAGTAATTTACAGTAATTTCAGTAACTTACTGTAATTTCTTACCTGATGATGTCAGTATTTCCCTCAGCATTCTCCGCAGTGTATGACAGCGAATGTATTCCTTAGGCAGCAGTGCTATCAGCAGAGATTCACAAACCTTCCTCAGAAACTCTGTCTCCGTCTCCTCGTTATCCAGCCAGGGATGTAAAATGAATTTCTTGGCTATTTTGTCATCTTCTCTGTATTTATAAACACAAGCTTAACTACATTACTCAGATAGGTTTATGGTATATGTACATGTATACAGTGTAACCTTCTATTCTGACATGCACATGGAAAGAGAAAATTTGTGTCAGAATAATATACACAGGGTGTCAATTTGTTTTTTTTTTAATATATAAAAAGCATAGAAAATAACAAAATTGGACTTGAAATAAATTTTCTTAATAGTTTTTCAACAGGCTCATAAAACAAATACCGTGTAGCAAAAGTTCCACAAAGGTATACAAAAGTATAAGCTAAATTGCTAGTCCTGCAGTCAAAAAACAAAAGTACATTTGACTTTTTTCAATGAAAACACACATCATATATAGAACAAGATCATTATTTAAGTAATAATATTGGTCGCACCTCTTTCTGTATTCTCTGATTTCCTGGAAATGTTTGTGAATTTTCAGAATGACGTCCTCTGTAATCAACTTCATTTTGTCTATCTTCTTCAATCGATTTGTCAAAGACTCAATCATCACCCATATGTCACTTCTAAAATGAATTCAAAAGATATATTGATAACTATAACTGAATATTCACTTATCTTTCTCTTAAAATATGTTACAATTTGAAGAAAAAAGATAAAGAAGATATATGTAAACTTTGCAATATTGTCATATACAAGTACACATATATATATATATACAGGTGTCTCATTATATCGCGGTACTTAATTCTTTTGCATAAAAAGTGTAATTTCTAATTTTTGTTTTAACTTACATAAAATGATAATTGTAATTCTAACTTTGGCCTAACTTTTTAGTGTCCAATTATTTTCCAAGCTTGCATCGTTTGGTCTATTTTTAAAACAGGAAGTCTTATTTACCTCCTAAATTGGAGAGTCTCATTTTATCGCGGTATGGAAATGCATGGAAACTTGTAAATGATACAGACCACAATTTTTATTTTTGAGTTTACGATGCAATTATACATGAAAAAGTAAAAATTGTATATACTAGAGACTTTTAAAAGATGAACTTTATTTTCACTTTTTTGAGATTATAATTCTAATGGTCTAAATATAATTTAAAGGAGACAGGAATTCAGAAAATTTTGTTTTATTTTTTTTCAAAAGGATGTTCCATACTTCTTAATCACCGATAAAAAATAAACACTCAAACAACATTCATAATGTCTATCAACAAAAAGAAAATAGGCTATGTATCCACATTTTTGTGATAAACGGCGATACAATGAAACCCGCGATATAATGAGAATTGAGTATACATGTAGGCTGCTTTATCAAACTGGAAAAATGGACGAATAAAATTTAGTATTCAATCAACTGTAATAATTTAATTTGGATGACAAATATTGTTTTCATATGTAAAAGGTTGAAGATAGGGAACAGAAATTTTTCTGAAGAATCAAAATCATTTATTCCATTAAAATAATGTGTCGCAATTTCGCAAATATTTGGTGAACTACAGTACAAACCTTAGAGAACTTAAAAATGCTTCATGTTCCTTAGACAGATCAGCGTACCATGACATGATATAGTCTCTCATGATAAGGTCTAGCACTTCCTGTAAAGCGCCATCTACATTTCTTGTTATCACTACTTTCTTTGTCTCCGATTTCTTCTCATACCTTTTTTCCTAAAAGTAATCCATTATATCAGATTAAATATCACAATCTGGCCATCAAATCAGATAAGTGTTTTTTTTAATACACATGTATATTGTATTAAGCATGATAATTTCTATTACATGTAATTCTAAATACTGTAAACCAATTTTGATTTGCAATGATTTATTTTGCGATTTACCATGTGTAAACTAATTTAATTTGCGACAATTTTCGCGATCAAGCATTTTTTGGATCTGTTCTAAATAGACACAGAGACTCTAAGGAATGGTTCGATGCGAGAAATTTCGCGATGACGTCTCTCTCGTGAACCTCGCTGAAATTTCTTGCGCACGAAAAAAAGTTGGTTTACAGTGTTATGTAAATACATTTACAGACAGCAATATTAACCTCTAATACTAACAAATATTAATTTACCATTAATTTGATGAGTTCCTGTGCCATCTTTGACTCCCGGGGCTGGGAAGCAGGTTTGTATGTTTTTCCCTGGACAAGAGACCAAGTCACACCAAGATAGATACCTAGTACGGCTATCACACAATGAACCAACAGAGACAGGACTGTCCCAATGACCTCATAGTGGTAACCGATAGCCAAGACTGCTACCCCGCCTCCCAGAATGATGCATCTTGTGGGAGCCATAGCCTTCTATGCAGTGAGTTGCAGTCTATCTATCATGATAATCATGGTGATCATGATCATCGATCATCATCATGGTATCAGAAACTTACACATACAGAATAATTATGAAAATATTGTATGCCGAACCCGACGTGAATTAAAAAAAGAACTTGAAGTTTCCATGGTTTCAAGGCCTAAAGTAATAATTAATTAATATTTTGCTATGATGTGAAAAAAGTATTTCTTCTATTTAATTTATTTTTAGAAATTGCCATTACGCATAACCAGTATCATGCTAAAAGAGGGAGGGGGGTGTTGTTTTTGAAGCTACATATGTTGAAATGCCCCTCAGGGCCCTTGATTGGTAAATAAAATATCTTGTATCTTGTAGGATGGTGGCCACACTCTTGATACTTGCATTATGCGTAAGGTCTTTGCATTATGCCGATACAATTTGTCCATATCGTGTTCTATAACCACTAGTCAGGCAAATCAAATTTGCAACTCCTTTTTACATAGCATGGGATTTTCTTTCTAATGTTTTACCTAAAATGTTTTTTTTTTTCATGATCAACAAATGTTTTTTTTTCCTTTATAGATCTATAAAGACTCTTAATTTCACATTTTACAATATCCTAACATTTGTTGATTTTTATCAAAAGCTATAGCACCAGATCTATGGAATGCCATATACGACAGCCAACTGTTTACTGCCAACTGTCAATTGCTTCATTACGTACTGCCAACTGCCACACATATTTGAATAAATTTTATATTTGTATTGATATTTATATGAATTTTCAGGGTAAAAAAGCACGGATGCAGGGCATTTTTTCCAAGGGGGTCACACTGGTAAAATGACCAATATATATTTTATCTTATATAATATTCAATATAATTATGCGGTTGATAAAGTACATTGTTTATTTTTTTAATTTGTTTTCCTATTTGAAATAGGTAATAAAATAAATACTTTCTTTTTTTAATCTTTAAAGAAGCCCCCCCCCCCCCTCCCCCGGAGACAACAAAACCTTTGAAGAGAGAACTGTGATATATGGGAATAGACGATTTGACAAGGCGGCCTCCACTTTATGGAACTCTTTGCCTTTGAATTTAAGAAAGTGTGACTCTCTTGGAATTTTTAAGAAAAAGCTTAAAACCTTTCTTTTTAAAAAGGCCTAGGATTTATAAATTGTGTATCTAAGACTTTTATTATATTTTGGACACTTTTTAAAAATTTTATATTCTTTTTAGTACTTTTACGTATATTGGACACTTTAAAATTTTTTATATATTTAACTTATAATTTTTCGAATGTCATTGCTGTAAATTTTTAAAGTTATATTTGTTTATATATATATATTGCTTGTACAGCGCCTTAGAGTTTAATATATAGGGCGCTTTATAAATGTTTAATAATAATAATAATAATAACTAGATACGATCTCGTTGCGAGCAACGAGTGGGTCTTCCGTCCAATTCTTGAAGAGATGAGATGAGATTTTGATTGAGATTTTCATTCTAAATTAATGATAAAGATTGTGAAGAAGAACTGTTTGCCTCCATAATCTGTAAAAAGACATTGAACATTAAGGACTTAAAAATTCGACTTTTGGCCCCTCGCAGCCCCTAATATTAGGGATCAGCCTTTTTTCTGCATATCATCTTAAAGCTCTCAGGATTTTCATCAATTTTTGTTCAACAACTTTTCAGAGATTCTTT